GTCCAAAAAGTTTAAAAAAAAAAAAAGGAAGCAATCAGACCCAGGTTGGAATTGAACAGCTAACTGGCAAGAACAGGTCCATGCTGTCTAGACCCTGAACGAATCCTTGCCCCCACCCATGCCCTTCTTTTGTTCCTAGCCATGCCTGTACCATCTCAATTTTAAAAGTAATTGTCCCCCTAAACACCTTCATAGTGCTTTGTCCCCTCACTCCATTGCCAGTCAAGCAATAAAGTTCTTGCTCTGCTTTGCCAGACATGGTCATTGTGTTAATTGCCTTATAATCAGTAGACGGTGTGTCCACTTGAGGTCCAGTGAGATGTGTGTCTCAAATAGTGCATAAGACAGTCATAAAATCATAAGTATATGGATATAAAATTTAACTTAAAATTCTGCATTTTTTATTCATTAAATATGGCAGCTCTAGAAGTAAGAACAACTCATAAGATGATCCAGAATTTAAACCAATTCATCAGATAGAAAATTTATACTCAGGGCCTCCTCAGTGGCACAGCAGTTGAGCGCTAGGCTACAAAGCTGCCCGCAGCCTCTGCAGCGCCAGTTCTATCCCCAGCTGCTGCCTAGGGTCCCACATGGTGCCGCAGACCTCTCCTGCCACACCCGCTGCTCCCCTCAGCAGTGTACTTCCATCCTTCTGCCTGCTCTGCTCCCCGCTCTGGCTCTGGTGAATTCTCTCACCCTCCCGCGCTTCTGACTGTACCCAGTGCTTGTATAAATAAATAAATAAATATTTTTAAAAAAGAAAAAGAAAATGTAGACTCAGAAGAATAGAATACTGTGAAGTAAGCTGTCTTACTATTTCCTGTGATTTCAGAAGATTTGGATCCCCAAGAGGCATCTTTTGAATATCTTTTGGCTATTGTGGGTGGATGAGGAGATAGTTGAAACTATTTAATCTAGTTGTTGGGGTGGTGACAGGAAACCACAAATAAAATTTTAATTATTTGACATAAAACAATGAAATTGTTTTCTATGGAATAGTATGATGATTGGATTTCTTAGAATTGTAATATCTTGAGTTTTAGTATCTCTCATCTTAATTTATTTTTATCCATTTTCTGGAAGATTATTCTAGCTTAATTTTCCTATTTTGTAGAGGTAAATCCACACACAACGTGACTTGCACACACATGCCAGTACATCCTTAAATGTCACCTCGCTAACTGACACTGAAAGATTTTATTTTATTTTATTTTATTTATTTTTTAATTTTATTTTTATATTCCCCATATAATTGCAATACCCTTATTTTGACCCCAATCCCTCCTTTCCCCGCCCCCCACCCCCATAGACACTGAAAAATTTTAAAGAGAGCAGTTTTAATGATGAATGTTAATCATTACATAGATTCTTTTATAAATGTAATTATGACATTCATGGCATACGTTAGAAAGCACTCCACATATGTTCCTCAATTGGTATCTTCAAAAGCAAATAAATGTGTATGTATAAACTATGCTGAAGTTATACTTAAAATGTAAAAATGATTTTACCGTATCAATGGACAAACTCTTCAGTAATTGAAACCATATTGTACAAGGTGTTGCAGAGATACAAGCACAAGTTAAAAAGTGTTTATCAACATTGGTAAGAAGGAATCAAAGTAGTAAGGAAACTCAGAAACAATATTACAAAATTATAAATTAATATTGTCACCATATTAAAATGCATAAAATATTGGCACAAATAACTATAACATGTCGGATTATTTTCCAGCTAAGTATTACTTGGATATATTCATTGATTGTGTTCCTTTATCATTTAATCAGTTTTATAGAAATAATAGGTAAGGGTGAGCCAAATCAGTACTTAGAATATTCATTTTTATTTTGCAAAATCATAATGAATTTCTCTCCTATACAGAACTTTATCATTTGTAAAGCATTTAAAATTCTTCATGACTGTAATAACAATATACAAAATGATGACCAAAACTATGTATAGGTAACTATAATTATTAGCAGCTATTAAGTAGAAATTATTTAACAAACAATAGAGGCTTGGAGTGCACTAAACTTGTCAAAAAATATTTAAAGGAGGTTTGCATTTACATTCCAGTGTACTGCTTCTAAAGGTCATTTTTCTAAAGCATGTACAAACAGACAAAGAAGATCCATTTGTTTTCATATTGCCCTCTCATCAAAACTAGAACTGAATTGTCATCGAGGAAAATGATATTGGTGACATTTTCTAAGACAATGACATCTATTGCACCTGGAAATTTTAATATTTTAGACTTTATTTGTAGAAGGAAAAATAGTATATAACATTTAATATGTTGCCTATTCTATGCTTACATCAGTCAGGTTTTCCACAGGAAAAAGATTTCACATTCAAACATATTGTATTTCAAATATATCTAAGGAAATATTGATGAAAGGACAATTTGGAAAAGATGAACAATTAAGAAAAAGCAGAAAGTGGGTGAAAGCTTAGGATTGTCAAGAGCTATAATTTGTAACTATCATAGATCTGATCATGGAAGAAGAAGGAGTAATTACTAGAACCTGGAAAATGTAACTGTAGTTGTAATAAAAAACTTCCAAATAGGAGCTGTGGCATGTAACAATCTTGGCAGGGGTCAGAGGAATATATATCCCACGTTCAGTCTCCTCCTTTCAGCATATCCTTTATAGATGTTTCCCACTGATCCCAGCCAACCTATGGTAACTGAAAAGCTCACCCAAACATTCTGTAAAGACATCTTTCTGGGAAACAGGATAGAGTGAGAAAGGAGGAGAGGAGATCTGGAAAAGCAAATAAAATACCCAGATTGTCTGTTACTTTTGTTTCTCAGTATCTACTTTTGTTCTTTTCTGGATTGCAAATTTGTGTAGCTTTGCAAAATATCATAAATTCCCCTTAAATCAGTGATGACATTGTAGGCACACTCTCACCTAAAATATAAAACTTTAGCCACCACTACTTCTTAATAAAAGGACAGGCAATAAACCCTGGTTTTGACAGTACTGTTGTAATTTCCTTCTTTCAACACCCATTTAACACTCTCCAGTAACCTAAAATGGGAGGTGTGAGACAGGTCTCCCCATGAGTGGTCAGATAGGTTTTTTCCAATATGTCTAGATTAGACTTTTTCTAACATGTCACCTTGATATTAGAACTAAAGCTAACAGAGGCTCGAAGGGCCTCGGGAGAAACTGTTACTATTACCTAAAGAACACAGAATGCCTAAATTTGGGGCTATCTCCAGAAACAAGATTTTTGCGGGGAAACCTACCTTACAGCAGGGCTTTGTCACATAAAGTATTCCCCTCCATGTCATGTGAAGTCCCCACCTCTTGCTTCAGTGCCCTACGTCCCCTTGCCTCAGATCACACTTTTGGTTCCAGAATGTATACCCCTTTCTCGCCAACTGAGGAGGGGACAAGCATGATCATTGTAAGTTCCCAAGTATACATTATTAAATAGAGTTTTCCTGTATTAATTCATCTGATGTTATTTTAATTAACCTCTTCAGCTCCCCCCTCCAAAAAAAAAAAAAAAACAAAAAACCTCAATGGACAATGGAGGGTATCTTTACTAACAAGGTGACACAAACTTATTTCTGAGATCTGAATCCTCTCTGACCTTGTCTTTATTAGATTGACCACTTTTGTGTAAGGAGGTACTAAAATCCAGTAAATTCTCTGGTTCTAGATATTAATTTCCTGTACCATTGGGTAACAGACATCCACTTTTCCTTGATATGGAAGATCAATCACCTCACTAGGATAGTGACCCTCCTCTCTCTATGACATAAGGAGCACAGAGAACAATTTCATTTTATTTAAAGAAGTACAACTGCTTCCTAATAGAAACATTTCACCTTGGGCATGAAGCTTTCTAAAGTCACTAAAAATAAATCATGGAGACAGGAAAGAAAATTTCTTTCAAGGGCCTCCCTGGTGGCACAAGGGGTTAAGATGCAACACTATGCAGCTATCTGCAGCCACTTCAGCATGAGTTCGATCCCCAGCCAGATTGGTGACTCACATGGTGCAGCAGACCTCTCCTGTCTCACCCGCTGCTCCCCTTAGCAGTGTATTTCAGTAGATCTGCCTGTTCTGCTCCCCACTCTGTTTCTGGTGAATCCTTTCACCCCTCACACCTCTGGCTTGTACCCCAGTTCTTGTATGCATAAATAAATAAATCCTTAAAATAATTCTTTCAGTAATGTATTTTGTGTGATAGTAAGATCCACTCCTAACCCCTTAGCTTCTCTAGACTATGCATTCTAGCTTTAAGAACGACGACACCATAGAGTGGCTTCCAGTTTATGGCATATACTACATGATGAATGGAGAATGTCATAACCTTAAAAAGACTTATCTGCCAATTAGTGTTATAATTGAACTTTTAACATGCTGTTCAACCATTTTACAAAGCCAGCTGCAATTGAATCATGAGCATATGCTAAGTATGTGAATTCCATGGATGCCAGCTCATTGCTTTACATTTTTTGCCATACAAATGGATAACATACACTTTGATTGGTGATGATGTCATGTGGCATATGATAAAAATGGATATCTTGAAGGTTCTTAGGTTCTTGAATAATGTCACTGGCAGACATGTTAAGGCAGGAAGTCATATTGTATCTCATATTCATATATATATGAATATACATATATATCTATATATATATTTATCTCTCTCTGGAGATAAATATGATGAAGGGAAACCAATGCAAGTAGTCTTCTACTGGGTAAATGACTATTCTTTTGGGAAATAATATATCAAATGTGCAGCATCAACCCTGGGGCAGATAAATTAGACACTCATCAGTGTCAATAGCCAGATCAGCCTTGAGTAAAATTCTAAGCTGTAGAAATCATCCACAGCTTTTATGCCAACTTTCATGGTTATTTCTTATGCAGATCTATCAAGCAAACAGAAAGATATCTGGGAATTAATATCATCCATCTGTTATTTTTATATCCTTTTACTTCAAACCTTTTTTGAAATGAATCTTCTCTGATGATCATTTACAGTGAGTACAATTATTTTCATCATTAGTGCTTATACCTAGACGTTCATTCAAATATGGTTTATCCAGACTTATCACCAATCTTGCAAATCATTTTCCTTTTAATACAGTAATTCTCTAGCCAGCTCATTAACTAGCATAGTCATTTTCCTTAGAAGGTTTCTCCTTCCACATGTAGAGAGGAAACAGCTACTCTGTCAAAGTTCTGTCCACTTGGAGGATTCTCCTTTATTCAACTTTCAGGCATCCATGGAGTGGGGCTAAACCACAGCAGGTACCCACTCCAGATGGTTTTAACATACATACCACATAAGGTGGTCATAGAGTTCTCTTCATTAAACCTGAATTGTGATAAGAAAGAGAGGCAGAAGTCAGAAGGAGCCAATACTGCAGGTGTCTCTATGATACCAGTTTGTGTTCTTGTGTCTGCACTTTTTTCTTCTGGCTCTGCTATGCTTTGTTCTTATACTTCATCTATAGTTCTCAGTGGAATGCTGAAATAGAGGTCAAATTTTATGATTTAGAGAGTTAGATAATGTCCAAATCATCATTGGCATTTTAAGTTACATTTTTACTTGATGTTCTTTTTTTTTAAGGATTTATTTATTTATGCATACAAGAACTGGGGTACAGGCCAGAGGAGTGGAGGGTGAGAGGACTCACCAGAGACAGAGCAGGGAACAGAACAGGCAGAATGACTGAAATACACTGCTGAGGGGAGCAGCGGGTGAGTCAGAAGAGGTCTGCTGCACAATGTGGGAATCTCTCTGGCCAACCGGCGGCGGATAACTTCACAGTGCTGTGCTTAACCCCTTGCACCACCAGGGAGGCCCATTTACTGATGTTCTATTAATAGAAATTTGGATTGTAAAAACAGGCCAGGAACAACTCTTCATATGGTCTCTGAGGTTGGCAGGTAAGCATTTATTAGTGGCAACATTCAAATCAACCTGGGTTGGACTTATGTGATGTCCAACCCACAAATGATTTTATCTCTGGAAAGAGAGAGCATGACTATAGCATAAAGTTGAGTCCTGAGTGATGGTTTCTTCTAAAGCCTTGCCAGATGCTCTCCCCTGAAATCTTCAAGTTGTTCAGTTCCTATTTTTCTACTGCAGCCCAGCCAGCCAGCCCCTGTTTGTGTGTGTGTGTGTGTGTGTGTGTGTGTGTGTTTGACTTCAGGGAATGACAGCTTCTTCTATAGAGGGAATGTTAGTAAAAGTGTTAGTTTTCATGGGCTATACAATTGCTCTCACTACTATGCATCTTTGTCAATCTTTTTCAGTCTTTGTCACTGTACGTGAATGCATCCATAGACAATAAAGAAAGGAATAAGTATGGCTATATTCCAGTGAAGGATGCTTTATGGACATGCTAGAATCTAAATCTTGTTACACACCTAAAAGCATTAAGAAGCAGAGGTGGAAAATGGAGAGAATCAGAACTACCTTGCAAGACAAGGAAGCAGTCATTATTGAAAAGCTTCATTCAGGGAAGGACACTTTCCTCAGACAAGGGTAAAAATATAAGATTTCTGTGAGAAAGGTTGATTCTGGAAGAAAGGAAAGCTTAAGGGAATTTGAAATTCAAGGTTCAAACCCTCATTTATATATGACTAAAAATTCTCAGTCTGTGCTGTAAGTTCCTCCAATAGGCGCCTTTATATAAGAGATTTGACAGGATCTGGTACTTAACCAGTAAACTTTTCAATAATTATAAACAGAATTCAAGCTTGGTCCTTACTTAGCCTGACTTTTCTTTTTCTTTAGAAGATGGCCTCCCTCACAGTTGCTATAGACACTTCATGGCTTTCCAATCATGTTCCAAATTCATTTTAATGGATCTTCAATTTATCATTTTCTATGTGTACCCTTTTTGGGATCATAAAAGTCATCACCTGAGTCAGAAATCATTATGCTCACCGTTGTTTCTATAGCAACTACACATACCACCATCACTTAATTTTTCAGTGTTGCCTTTTATTTCCCTTTGTTCCCCACCTCTCCTCGAGGCTTTTGAATAAGTACATGGCACCCATACAGCAGGTTGCCGGGGACGTATTGCCACTTGCTAGAATGTTACCCATACGCTCATCAATTATTTGAGTAACTAATTTTTTTTTTAAGATTTATTTATTTATTTATACAAGCACTGGGAAGCGCTGGAGGGTAAGAGAATTCACCAGAGCCAGAGTGGGGATCAGAACAGGCAAACTGACAAAATACACTGTTGAGGGGAGCAGCGGGCGTGGCAGGAGAGGTCTGTGTGCCATGTGGGACCCGCGCTATGTGGGACCCTTGCTGTGGGCCGGGATCGAACCTGTGCTGCATAGGCTGCGGGCAGCTTTGCAGCCCAGTGCTCAACCGCTGTGCCACCAGGGGAGGCCCTGAGTAACTAATTTAAGAACCCAATAAACAGGATTTGTTTCAAAGGTACAGCTCTGACACTTACTTGGTCAGTTATCACAGTTGCAGGAAATAAAGGCTTAATGAAGGCTTAAAATAGGGGCTATTTATAATGTTTTAGAGTGAATTGAAAAAAAAAAACAAAGAATGATGGGATTTCCCAAAAAAGAAATAACAGTATAACAGTAGTTGTAGGAAGTTTCCTGACAGGAGCTATGTTCTGTCAAACTGGAAGTGGTGAAGCCATAACAACATACAGACCAATATCAAATGCTCCTCTTTCTCTAATTTCTTGTCCGTGCTTTCTATTTGATAAACCTACATGGTGAGACATCGCATAGATGTAGTTCTTAAGGCTGAGTCTACTGTACACTAAGGAGAAATGTGAGAGTGGACTCACAGTGATAAATGCAGAAATGTCCAATTAGAGATGTCTCATAGATACTTCTTGCAGTAACAACTGTTAAGATTTACTGGGCTTGCAAATATTAGAGAATTTGTTTAGCAGATATAAAAAAAGGTAAATAACAGCTCAGTGTGACAGAATTTATTTCTCTTTATTTTAAAACATGCAACACGTCAGGTACACATAAAGAGGGTTGGAAACCCATGCCTTCCCATTTTGTTAAGATGTTGAATGTTGCCCTTGTCTGCATAATCTACTGCTGTCTGTCTGCATCCCACTCAGCTGAAAAGAGGGACAATCAAGATAAAAGTCATATCCAGTGAGACAAACTGGAAAATTAATACATGGCCAAAATGTAATAACAAGGTCAGAACTAGCAACAGCAAGGAAGGCTGGATAGCATAATTTTAGCTGGCTCCTCATGTGCCCCTGACTTATGGTTTCTATGTTAGTGAAAGATATGTGAATAAATGCATCCTTATCTTGACTATTGTAAATAGTGACGCAATGACTAAGTGTGCGTTAATATGCCTATGAATTAGTGTTTTTGGGTTCCTAGGATAGATACCTAAGAGTGGAATTAATTGCTAGATTGTATGGTATTTCTACTTCTAATATTTTGAGGAACTTCCATATTTTCTGGCAAGGGGAAAATATCCAAGAACTCATACAACTCAACAAAAGAAAGTAAAGAGCACAATCAAAAATAGTTTGAAGAACTAAATAAACACTTCACCAAAGACATCCAAATGACTAATAGGTACATGAAAAAAATATTCACCATCACTTATCATCAAGGAAATGCAAATCAAAAATCACAATGAGATACCATTCACTCCCATGAGAATGGCCCATATTTAAAAAAAAAATAGAAACATATGTCATCAAGGGTGTAGAGAAAAAGGAACATTCTTACACTGTTGGAAGAATTCCGTTTAAAGTTTGTTGTTGGCAGAATCAATTTCCTGTGACTATAAGGTCTGGGGTTTCAGTTTCCTTGTTGGTTGTTGGTTTGCAGTCTGAGCCCCCAGAACCAACTCTCTGGTTCTTTCCATACAGCCTCTTTTATATTCAAGCTACCCATGGTGCAGTGAGTCCTCACACTTCACTAAGTGTAGATGAGAGTAGCTGACTACGGGAACATATTTTTAGTTAAAATATTGTAGATGTGGTAGGGAGGGTATGATCATAAAGGAACTCCCTCCTGGTCTGAAATTTGAAAAGAACGAACAAGAGAGTTAGTTTGAAAAAATCTGACATTCTAAAAAGAGCCACTTCTCTGATTGAAGTGCCATAACTGTAATTACAAAGTTTTTTTGTTTTGTTTTGTTTTGTTTTGTTTTGACTCTGGCCTTGGTCATTTTGAAATTACTATGGTCTTTAAGCAGATTGTCAATTAGCCCTCTCATATGCTGCTATGCCAGATATCCACTTCTTCAAAAATAGCAGCTACGCTATGAAGAGTGAGTCTACAAATACTTTTAATAAAATATAAAGTATGCAGGAACAATTATATGGTATGCAGGAACAATTATATGCTAAGTTTTTTTTTGTGTATATATATATATATATATATATATGCTTATGTAAGAATTTGGCACACATAAATATAAGAAAAAATAAGGATAAAAGAGAAAGTTTGCCTCTGAAAATTTAGTCAAGCAGTAAATTATAATCCATTGATTGTTTTTCTTCACCTCCATTTTCTTAAGGAAAGGAAATTTTTTGAATATATAAAATTCCCTAAGAGAATCCCAAGAGTTCCCAAAGGTACCAAAATACATCCTAACTATACGGTTGAAAAATACAATCACAATTCCTTAGTAATCTAAGAAAGGAAACCTTTATAGAAAAATTTCATCAACTAAAGGTTTTGTTTCCTTATTGAATCTGCACTGTATTTAATCAAGGCCCAAGCAAACTGCCAAGTTCCTTTTTATATGTTTTACAAAGGAAAAGTTCCCTAAAAATAGACTTCTGTGTCTTAGCACATTCTAAGTCACTGAAATTTCAAATTTCAAGTAAGACTGTACTTTCACAGATTAATTCAAGTAAAGGATAGGAGGAATATTTCATATCTGAAACAATAATAATAATAACGTAACATAAATGATTAACTTGTGTTCTCGGTTTATTAAAAAGGAAGATAAGGGCCTCCCTGGTGGCCATGGGTTTAAGTCTCAGTGCTATCACCACTATGGCCAGAGTTTGATTCCAGCCGGGGAACTACCTACGTGGTACAGCCGACCTCTCTTGTCTCACCACTGTTCTCCTTAGCAGTGTATTTCAGTAAATCCGCCTGCTCTGCTCCCCACTCTGTCTCTGGTGAGTCCTCTCACCCCACTCCCACACACCTCTTACCTACACCCCAGTACTTCTATGCAAAAAAAAAAATAACAAAAAGGAAGAAGATAGGTCTTCTTTTTCAGCAGCTTAATTGATAAACACTTCATGTACAAAGATCTACACGTATGTAATGGGTATGATTTGATGAGTTTAGATAAATGCAAACACCTATAATACAATCATGACAATCGAGGTGATATCTATCTATCTATCTCTCTCTCTCTCTCTCTCTCTCTCTCTCTCTCTCTCTCTCTCTCTCTCCAAAACCTCCTAGAGCAGAGATTCATGGCATGTAGTTGTTGCTATTTTTTGTTATTGTTGTTGTTCTTCTGTTCCGTTTCCTCTCATTCTCCCTCCTCCTCCTACTCCTTCTCCTCCCCCTACTACTCCTTTTCCTTTTCTTCTTCTTGTGTGTGTTTGTATGTGTGTTAATGAAATCTGCCTTATTTTTTTTATTTTTTGTTTTATACATTTTTTACATCATTTTTCATTGTCGTACAATGTATGCATTTTCATCTTGGTTATAGTCCTCATACAACTCCCACCCTCCTTGTTTTGATCCTACTCCCTCCTCCCTTCCCCTATAGGGTGTCTCTGATTTATAGTAGCTTGTTGATTTTGATTTTTATAGAATATTACTCAGCAATCAAAAAAGACAAATTCATGCAATTTGCAGCAACATGGATGGAGCTGGAAGGGATCATGCTCAGCGAAATAAGCCAGAAAGAAAAGAAAAATACCAGATGGTCTCACTCATAGCAGGAATTTAGAACACCTAAATAAGAAACCTATTTAGGTCTATTCCTTCATATATGCAGATAAAGGACTTCTCTACATGATCCCAAGTTCTGGGCAGCATGTAACTAATGGTTGGACAATTTCTTGATTACCTTTCAGTGCCACATATCTCTGCTTCCAATAACTTTTCCTAAAAATATACTAGGATGGGATGAAAAGAATGCCACTAAATGAACATATGGTTAAATCTGCTGTACAACAGAGATATATGTTGAGGTTTGTACAACAACAATAAATTGCAGTCTTGTGTGAAGCAGTAGTAATACTGTGACTTTACTTTATGGCAATTACATTTATGAAACCAATGCAAAAAGGAAATGATTCAAGATATCTCTTCAAATGAAGAAATTGCAAGAATAATTAATGTTTTCAAGATTTGGTTTAACCTTACAAAAAATGTACTGACTACTCAGAGATTTTATTTCATATACCTTTCAATAATCAAAAGAAACCGACTTTTTATAACAATAGTATTATCTTCCCCTCCTCTGCTGAATGTCTCTGATTTATAGTTGCCTGCTAGTTTTGTCTTTTTTTCCCCTGATCCCTTATTTGGTTCCCCTATATTCCTCCTATAAAATAGGGTAACAGGGTGGGAAGAGCAGAAGAGACTATGGTGATGTTCACAAGTGACTTAGTGGTGGGAATTTTATGGGGACTACACCTGAGAGTAGAAAGCAAACTGTACAAAATTGAATATAGTGTAAAATATATAGAGAGAGAAATAAAAAACAACAAAAACAAAAATAACCAGTAGTATTATCTCTCTAAAGTATTAAAAAATTCTATTTGGAAATAAAAATACAAGAAGAGAGTAACTTTTGAATGGATAGTATTTGGTTGGGTTTATGTCACACTAGTTCATTTATCTGAAACCAATAATTATAAGATGCACAATTTGCTTTATCATCTGTATCATTATTAAAAGAAAAATTCTATCCATAACACTTTTGCCAATTTATAACATCTATTTTTCATGTAAATGCAATGCAAGTTTAGAGTCACAAATATTGAAATATCCTTAATATTTAACAGGATTAATGATAGGAAAATATTTCCAAATGTCAAATATTTATATCAACCACTTCTGCTTAGGGAAATTTGTGCTTGCATATTTCAAGGTCAAATTGAAAAAAATTTATCCTATGACTCTATAAGGTATCACAGACTGACTTTGCTTCTTTGGAACTGACATGAGTTTAAGAACAAACATCCAAGACCATGACTTTACTGAGTTCTGAGCAACACAAGGAACTAGACCTATAAAGCAGATGGCAAAAAGAATACTCGTTCCCTGCAGGTAGCTCATTGCTTAGAGAAAATGGGAAGAAGGACCAATTTACACATGCCAATACCTCCTTCCAGTTTCATATATCAAGAAACATGGAGGAAGACCAAAAGTGATTATTTTTGTGGAGTTTCCCTCCCAGTCTGAAATCATGGAGATTTTCAATGACAGTGGCCAGGAAATTGACATTTAAGTTTAATAACAAACTGACTCTCTTTAACGGCCTTTGAATCTTGAGCAGAGTTCCATAAGTAGGAAAGTAGGCCCAAACAGTCAGCTATCTAGAATCTGCTGCTTGTTTTAGTTCTAGCTTTTTCCAAAGTCAGACCAGTTAGCTTTTGCTTTGATGCTGTAATTATTCTTCAAGTTTGAATTTATTTGTTTAGTAGGCTTTGTTTAAATACTTCTAGTGATAGAAACCAATTACCTCATCCAATATTTATCTTTAAATGTTAAAAATAATCTCCTATTTTTGAGCTGACACTTAAGCCCTTTAAATTCTGCCATCAGAGCTACTTCCATCTTTTTAGGATATAAAATGAGACCCAAATCTTCTTCCATATTGCCATTCATTCAAATTATTGAGCTCATAATCTTGTTCATATAAGTTTTATTTTAGTCCTTAGAACACCTCCTTGTGTGGTATGATTGATATTTAAGACATCACCTTGTAAAAATCATTAAGTAATCTTACTACTCTAAAAGTAAAATGTGTAGAATTGACTATCTTTATGTTTGCTCAATTGACTAGAGACAAAAGGGAGACTATTAAATGTCCATGCCTCATTTCTCTCTTTCAGTGGTATCATACACCATGAGTAGATGCTAAATCATATTAGGTGTTGGTTTTGAATAAAATCCTTATTATTTCATAATAACTAATATTGCATACCATTACCTTTATTCCATGATTATTTCAAAGATGTACTGATAAGTAAAATAACTGTCTATCTTCATTTGTATTGTTGGACTTTTATTTAAGAAAAAATTACTTTGCTTATTCATTTCTATGGTATTTTTTCTATGTTGGAATTAAACCAAATACAAAATAAAAATGACAAAGTATGCGTAATGGCATAAAGTTTCAATGGAATAATAACTGGAACAAATGAGGAAAGGCAGAAAAATATTAAGAATGATAATCAATAAACTTATTACAATAAATTTTATAAATACATATTTGCTACTTCATTTTTCTTTAAAAGAATTAAGATTATATAACATCATAATTACATCAATGTATGTCAGTACCAGGCTTACACCAGCAGGGGGACCTGACCTGGGGTGGTGGTCGCTTCCGCCCAAGGATGAGTCGCTTCGGCCCAAAGCGGAGGCTGATGCAATAGTAACCGGATGTTGCAAATCCATGTAAAGCGCATGCGCAGGCTTTCCAAGATATATATATAGCCCCTCCCCTCGAATAAAGAGAGTTCCTGCTTCCAGCCAAGAGAGTGCACGTGTCTTTTCATCCCCAGCCCCTCCGCCGTGTTCCTCAACCCCGTCGGCCTGCAGGCAGGACCGGCAAATGTATTGTTGGATTTATAAATTTATAAATTATATGTGATATATATAATCTTAGAAGTATCAATTTAGTATATATCTGAAGTAGATTCTGATGTTAAATTATGTATGGTAAAACCTAGAATAACCACTAAAATGAAAGCTTAAAATATAGAAAAAATCATTAAAGAAATTAAAATGACATACTCAAAAATGTTCACTCAATACAAAAGAATGCAATAGAGGGGAAAAAAATATGAGACATTAAAAATAGAAAGTAAAATATTTGGCAAATTATTAACAAAAAGAAATGAGATGTGTATATTAGAATTAAAAAGCTAAAACAATGTCTATTTGCAGATGACAGAATCTTTTATGTTAAACATGCCAAGAAATCCACCAGAAAATTTTTAGAAGAAAAAAATCAATTCAGTAAAGTCACAGATAAAAGTAAATATTGAAAATCATATTCTGAATATTGAAAATCATATTCTGAAGTAAACAATGCAAAAACAAAATTAACAAAATAATCTTGGATAATTTAAGTTACTTTAAAGCTGTCCTTAAAATTATCTTCTATGAAAATAACAAATTAAAGATTCATAAGAATTAAGAAATTAGTAATAAAGGTTAGGCTATGCATCTGTTAACATCTATTTATATTTCTGAATTATTCAGTCTTATAAACCAATATTACCTTTATTAAAAATATATCAAAATTATAATAAGGTCCCTGAACAAATACGTATGTATGTTTCTCTTCGATGAAAGTTCTTAGAAGAAAGATTTTAGAATCACAGCAGATATATTTTAGGCACTCATTGAGTGTTTGTTGATTGAATATAAGAAGAATCTTATACTAGGATATATATATTTGTGGAAAAAATAATTTCTTTATGTAGCAAGAGGTTTTACTCAGCAAACTTTACAAGGGAAACATGTAGGCTATTATACCACTGTAATAGTTGAATTTATAATATTTTACTTTAAAAAATGTTGAAATATGGAAAAGGGGCACTGAGCTAAAAAAAAATCCTCATAAAAACTAAAGCACATGATAAAATACCTGCAACTAGAGAAGATTAAATAATTTATTTTATTTTTGGTATATTTTTTTAAACTGGTGTCTTTGTTCTGGCCTTTCCTGTTGAATGACTGCGAGTAATCTATTTCATTCTAAATAATCTATTTCATTCTTCCCATGTGTTTTGAACTATAGTTTTATTATTTGAAATACAGCTTTCAATAGAAGAAAAAGAAAATAATTTTGTTTGGAATGTCATCAAAAAGAACAAGTTATTTAGAAATAAATTTAATAATAAAAGAGATGCAAAACTCATATTCTGAAGCTACCTTGCTAATAATGAATGAGATGCAAAACTCATATTCTGAAGCTACCTTGCTAATAATGAATGAACCTAGGTGTGTGATTCTCTTTGGATTTACTTACACTGCTTAGGGGTTACATTTCATATGGGAGTTTGAGACAATATCTAAAACACATCCTTTTTTTTTTTTGGTTTTGCTTGATTTTACCTTTCGTTTTCAGGTGTTTCGTCTTTTCCATCTTTCAGGAAGATTCATTGCTTCAGCTGAGTCTAAACTGTATCAAAAATATTGTACAAAATATAGATTTTCACTACACAGCCCACATTTTTTTTAAAGATTTATTTAGTTATTTTTTTATCTATTTATTTATACAAGCACTGGGTACAGTCAGAAGCGCGGGAGGGTGAGAGAATTCACCAGAGCCAGAGTGGCGAACAGAACAGGCAGACTGACAAAGTACACTGCTGAGGGGAGCAGCAGGAGTCAGGAGACGTCTGTGCGCCATCTGGGACCCTCGCAGGCGGCCAGGGATTGAACCGGTGCTGCAGAGGCTGCGGGCAGCTTCGCAGCCCAGGGCTCAACTGCTGCGCCACCAGGGGAGGCCCCAGCCCACTTATTTTTAAGGAGATTGTCAGTGTATTGTCAGGAAAACATCCAGTTTTAGAGAGTTACAAACTATGTCATTCTGATATCTGCCACCTTAGATGAACATGTATATATATATATATATGTGTGTGTGTGTGTGTGTATCTATGTGTATATATACATATTTCCATATATAGCTGATCTTTAACATCCCATGTTTTGAGGGAAACTTGTGTTATCAAATTATTCTCTTTGCTAGTTTTGGCTCATTCCATTTTTAAATAAGTTCATATTTTCTTTTCTTTTTTTTTTTTTTTTAATGATGCAGAGTGCAACATATTGTCAGAAGTCTACCCTGGAAAGTAATCTTGTGTTGTTTGTTCTGTTCTCTTGACATGGAGCTAATTTTCTCAATAATAGCTGCAATGAAAATAACAAATATAAAAGCTTCATTTCCCCATCCTTCAGAAAGCCTTTTAGCCTACTTTGAAATCCCCAGAGAAAATCTAGAAAAATAACTGTCAACTGAAAAATGTCAAAGCTAATGCTCTACTTCAAAATTAAAGCACAGAGAAAAAGCCTGCAATATAGCTACTTACTTCTTCCGTGCCAGTGTTAACTCACAAGGGCTCATTCTGCGGCTGGGGGCACTGACACAGTTTGTTCCCACTTCTGCACACAGCATATACTTTCTTTTAAATAAAGAGTAAACACATAGGGTTTGAGTGTGTGGAGTGGACAAGTATTCAGAACCATGCCGCTTGAAGAAAATTAAACAACTTTGGAAGTTGCATTGATATTTTAGACCAAGCAGTACAGTTTTTGTATGTATTGAGAGTGGTTATGCTGAATAGAATCTTAAGATTTTGAAGCATAAATACAAAGTAACTGTCCCAGCTATCCAGGAATGCTTATTTTAAAATGTCAGATGTTAGAACTAAATGAAATAGTGATAATCTAGTTTCTCTCAGGTTAGAAACTTACTTTATTTTAGCTTCTAAAGTGCTCTATATTCCACTATGTGGCTATGGTGTTCTAGTCTTCCCTATGCTTTTCCTGATGATAAAAGCCATAAAGTCAAGCTCATAAGAGAGGGATAGCACCCAAGAATTCTACAGATTCTAAGCTTTAATGATGTCATAACTTAACTCAGCTGGTGTTTTGAGCAATATTGGTACTCTACCCACAGTGTCTTGGATATATTTTTCCTTTCTGTGTACATGGGAGTGGGGTGTCACATTTTGTGCTTTTATTTCCAAAATTCAGCATGTGCATTTTTTTTTGTTTGTTTCCAACAGCTCTCCTTAGAGTACCAAACCCCACTTTGCCAACTTTATCCAGAGATCCGGAAGCACCTGGGAACTACATATCTTTTTCTGACTCCTCAAGTCAGAAAAACCCTGAGATATAATTTACATTCCAGAAAATACTTGAAGATCAGGTAGAAGTCATCCTTTGCAGGATTTTGCCTGAGACTGTACCTCACTTAGATTCATACCCTTACCCTCTCATGTTTCCCCTCTCTCTTGTCAGCTTATCAGGAAGCATTATTTTAATAAATCTCTTTCCTGTCAACCCATGGTCCAGGGTCTGCTGCAGGAGATCTCAATTCATGAGCACAGACTGGAAACTTGGAAATGAGTCACCCTGACTAAAAGAAGAAAGGCATTTTGGTGGAGGCTAGAGGAGGAGAAGAGGCTAACGCCTCAACTAGATAAAGGAAAATAGAAGTGTAAGGTAACCTCTACTATTATGTATCTTACTCTTACATTTCTTTTTCCTGTCCTTTTATGACCTTCTTCAAGGTCACTGTGGCTTTAAATTTCCCTTGGAGTTCAGTAGCAGGAATACCTACACTCCTTTCTTTGTTCTCTTCGTCCGAAAATATTTGTTCATTCTTCAAGTTCCCACAACTTTAGACACTGCCCTCTAATCTGTTAAATTGATTCTAGAAAATGGCTATTCATTACTGTTATGTATTAATTGTTGTATGTGATGAATATATTACACAATATACACTCAGTGTATATTTATACACATACAAAAATACCAATAGCAAAGTATTAAGATAAATGAAAATGATTCAGTTTTATATGCTAAAGAAAATTATATTTTATTATCATAAGAAAGGTTTATAATTAAAGTTGACTTTTTCAAATTTCATAGGAGATGTATAAATAAATGCAACGAGCGTTCCAAGGAAGGCAAAGGATCTATGTGGTTAACAAAGTGTTAACTTAAAATAATATAAAGTACAAGCTCTCACTTGCTGTAGATAAGTAAGCTTTAAAAACTTCAGTATTCATCCGAGCACATAGTAAGAGAATACCAAAGCCTGTACTCTTTCTTCTTTTATTTCTTCAACTAAGAGCAGCACAGAATACTTGGATTTTAAACTTTATTTAGGAATTTAGGTAATAGATATTATTTATATCAGGCATTGAGTGACCTAACTTATCTATATTTTTCATCCTTGACTGACACTATAGTGTAAATATGCAATCATTTATGAATTAAAAAATATATCAGATGAAGTAAAACTTGCTCAGATAGAGACAGACCAGGTATTTCATCCCCAAACTTGATATTTTACCCTATTTTATTGTCCCAATATGGAGACTGAGGAGAGAGTTTAAAGACAGAGTAGAAAGTGGGGGGGAGAGGGTAGAAATCCAGGACATGGAAATTCTGTGTGTGGGGAGAGGGATTATTGCAGATTAGCTGGGTATCTGATAAATGAAAGCAAAGGATGGCATGAACTGGCAGAATATTCTGCTTTAATCTAAAGAATTTAAAACTCATGATAGGCAATGGAATGTCTTTGGACATTTTTAACCAAGAATATAGCATGGCTAAAAGTGAGTTTTTAACAAGCTTGGTTTTCAAAATTTTGTGGCAACAGAGAAATATCCAATACCTTTTCATTTTTATAGTATGTATATATGTATATTTGTACATATTATATATATGTATGTGTATATATATATGTATGTTTGTAGGTATGCATGCCATGAAAATGAGCAGAAAATTAATTTACTATTGAACTTTCAAAATCACAATATATAAGATACTGCTTCTTTTGTCTCTTTCTAAGATAGACTCTTCGTAGCCTCCTGATGCAATGTCAACTAATGCCATTGCTGTTGACAAATAGCAAAATGCACTGTGTCAAACTGCTGTACATTCCCAGAGGATCTAAGCTTGTCTATAGGGATGAATGCCCATCAATCAAATATGAACCGGTATGCAGGAATTTAGATCTAATCCATGAGGTATCAGTGACTAAAATAATTGATATTGAGAGTTCTGAGCAGTGGCAATATTTAATGTCAAGTGAAAGATCAAGTCATTAATAAGAACATTAATTTAATACAAAACAGAATTTCAGGGGCAAAGCAAGATCACCAAATATTCCAAGACTCTGACTGGGATTAAAAGCAACTCTCAGGCCCTGTCTACATTAAATGTTCATATGAGGTCACTGGAAGGAGTGAGAGGAGGCTGACAGGAGCATGGAGAAACATTAGACAGCAAGAATTTGACAAGGAAGTCAAGAAGGAATACTGTTTCAATGGATCTAATTCTGTTCATTTACTAAATGTTTATTCCTTCCATAAATCTATAGATGCAATAAAACTGTAATATATTGGGTACCTACATCAAGTCAGGAACTGTCACAGGTACTATGGATACCATCTTGCAAAACCAAATAAACAAGCAAACAATAAAAGAAAAAAGTTATTTCCATCTTGTAGCTTAATTTCTGTTGGGTAATGTAGACAAAAAAAACAGGTACAGTGAACAAGAAATTACAGAATTGATCAGTTACTGATTATTACTTTCAAATATAGTAATTACTTAAAAGTTACAGTGACATTCCTCTTTAGGCTACCCTGGGCCAAAATACACATGTGAAGTTGGATGAAAATAAGAGAGTATACAACCCCAAACTGGCTAGCACCAAGGCTAAAGTAAGAGAAGTTCTTTGAAGTTTCCAAAACAATGTTACCAAGTTGCTTGCAGAGCAGGAAGTAAGTGTAATTTGCCCATCAGCAAGCCTGCCTGTCGTTTCTGAAGCAATAAAGGTTCAGATGCAAGGATATGACAATGAATCCATTTCCCTTCCTTTAGTGTCCAAAGAGTTAGGTTGGTTTGCTTCCTAACTAAACAGGAGTATTATTTCATTTTTTGAGTGAAACCAAAATTATACATGTAGATGGTTAAAGTTGTTTTGTTTTTTTTTTAAATTATCAATCATAGATCCCAGGATTTGGAATTTAATGGACTGTTCCTGTAGGCTCATTAAAGTAGGACTAATTTTCACTCTGTTATAATCTGTCTTCAATTTCAAAATAATAGAAACTCCTGGAAGTTGCAATCAAAATTTTAGTGCATTATCTCTCATTGAAGTATGTACTTCTAAAGCAGAATCTCAGTGTCTGTTGAACCAGTCAGTCTAACCATATTACCATTAACCCTCACACATTGATTAAATACTAATGTGACCTCAAGACAATTTCAACTAAAGCTATTTTTTTTTCTTTCTTTCTTTTTTTTCTATAGGCCTCTTGCTTCCAAAGCTATTAAGTTACTCTATTCTTCTGCTAATTATCTGAAGTGTTATTAATTTGAAGCCTAAAACTCATAGAACTTCTTCAAAGCTACTCTACAATGACAGTGGAGTTGAAGTTAAAAATATAATTAAGAGATTGAAGAAAAAGATTTTAATGGTTAATTTCTAAACTTCTAGGCATCAGCACACATGTCATTCTCTTCTTTTGTCTGATTTTTTTTTCTTGTTCCTCCAAATCATTTTTAAATGGTGAAATTATATTCATTTGCAAAATGATTGGGAAATAATCACTATTTAAAAAAAAATTAATTGCTTTCATATTGAAACTGATATTTTAGTAATTTGGTCCAAAAATCTATGTAGCCTGTGATCTATATTATTATCATCCCAGTAGAACCCTCAAAAACACTGTCCTTGGACTGAAATTGAATGGTGTCTCTAAATAAATGCAATTCTAGTGACCCTGACTTGGAGTTGTCACTCTTTTACAAAGGTTCTGAGCCTAAGGAATGCAAAGACAACTGAAACAGGCACACATTGTATTTGCTCATCTCAGGAAAAGAAAATATTTTAGCATAGACAGAGATTCTGTCTATACATCTTAGAAAGAGACATAAAGTACTGGAAATGTGGATGTTCCTCTAAGCTATCAGATAAGCATATAATTTAAAGACTAATTAAGAGTGATTTCATTGTTGACAACACAACTGTTTAAGATGATAATAGTCTATAATTAATGAAAGCACATTTGATGGATGTAATTTAGTTGTCTTCCGGGGTACATGAAACCTTTAAATATTTAGATAGCTATCCATACCAATTAATATTTCTATAGAGAAGTAAATAATCCTACATATGAAAGATGTTTCATTTACATCACCCTAGCCTAATAATAGATTGAGAATATGGCTATTAAGTTCTTTTAACTGCCTAATCAGCTAATAACCACATAAATCTTGACCTCAAGAAGAAGAAACTAATGTAATAACTATGTCAAATCAGATTGTGTATCTAAACTGTCAAAGATTTTTTAGACAAGCAAAATTGGTGGTTTTATTCTAGTCTAAAATAAATCAAATCTTATTTTCAATTGACTAGGTAATTTTTGCTTCTCTAGGTATTTTTACTTTGAAAAAAAAAAATGTTTCCTTTCCTATTCACCATTTGTGGTGGAACCACTGCTGAGACGCAGATTTTCATGAAAATCCTTACTGGGAGGCTGAACAATTGGATACAAAGGAAAATGAAAAGGCCAAGATACAGGATATGGAAGGAATTCCTCCTGACCAGCAAAGATGGATTTTTGCTGGCAAACAAATGAAAGATGAACTGCAACATTCAAAAGGAGACCCTCTAAATTTTATCTTGACACTGTGAGGTGATTCTAATGATAGGAAGAAGACTTCCAACACTCCCAAGAAAAATAAACATAAAAGAAAGGAGATTTAGCTTGTTGTCTTGAAATATTAAAGGGTGAATAATATAGGTAAAATCAGTCACTTTCTTTGGAATTGTTTTATGGATGCTAGAGTTTTTATAGCTAGCCACTTCAACAGACATTATTGTAGCAAATGTCTGACCTATTGTTTCAACAAATCAGAAGTAATTGTGTATGGGTTAATAAAAGAAATTAGCATTTTTAAAAAAGTTTATTTATTGCCAGATGAGCATAGTTCCAGCACATTGAAATGTTGTCCATTGGTTAATGATTCCTTTATTCAAAGGAAGCCCTCAATGACTGGAATACTATGAAAATGTGCCTGTATTCAGTCCTGGTGGTGTCCTTTGCTATAGAGTGACAACATGCAATAAATTTAATCTTTTTAATCTTTATAATTATAAATTTATATAGATATCATTTTATTATATGTTACATAATATATATTAGTATATATTATATATTGCTTATAAGTATTATTATTACTTATTTTTTCATTTATGAAGAGGGAGAAAATTAGAGTACTTCCACATAGTGATGCTACCAGTACTAAATAAAAATGTTGAGAAAATTTACTTGCTATTTGTATGATTTCTTCATAATTTCATACTTTTATGTATCTTCTATTTCAATTGTATTCATTATCTTTATTTATCTAAATGGGCCTTTTTTTAAAAGATTTATTTATTTTTATACAAGAACAGGCCAGATGTG